TAGTACGATATTTGGATAGCTTAGTCCCAACAGCAGTCTGGTGAAGTTCACTTAAAAAAACCCCCAAACAGCAACAGAAGCTACCTTGTAAGATTCTTACCTGATTCTGAGGAACCAGGCAGGAAGAACAATCTCCAAACCTTTCAGTCTAACACTCAGAACACAGGCACTTTTTCTTATCCCCACCTTGATAACGGTGGAGATTCCAATGCAAGATCATTCTGTTGCACAGAAAACATTCTGCTACATGGTGACATTACACTGCATTAAGGTCTTGGGTCTATACTTGATTTTAGAAAACCACGTTGAATTCATACAGCAGGTATAGCAAAACAATTTTATCCTTCTTTGCAGTCTCCTATCTCCACTGCCACCCCAACCTTAAAACCAGCATGATCAACAACTCATTAAATGTTTTCTTCTGACAATCTAAGAATAGCTTTCGGAATAAAGAGGTATGAATGCATCCAATTTAGGTACAAAAATTTTTGCATTTTTGCCTGCAGAATCAGTGATTCCCTCTCTTACCTCTCACCTCCACATATAATTTAAAACCTTAAGTGGAAAACACCTGCCTTCTCCCTGCACTTCTCTGCTTTCATCAGCCCAGTTATATTCAATAGCATACACGTGAGAACGGTCTAGGCTTCTGCCTTGCTCAAGCCAAGGGTGAAACTTCGGTTCTTGTTCAATAAAAAACAAACAAAAGTCCAACAACCCCAAACCACCATGCACACATCCAATGCAAAACATTTAAACAAGCTGAAAGCTTCTGTCCTCAAAAACACTGCTATTAAGCCCCCACTCCAATTTCATTATTAAGTTTATATTTGTTTCCCTAATCCTTCTCATAGATAGAAATGCATTAGCATCATGAATCCCAGGACACAGCAGTGCAGTGTTATCTTAAACCCTGGGCTAGTTAAACTGTTCAGGTAGTTGACGGCGCCTGCCAAGTCAGCCACACTGTTTATAGTTTAGCTCTCCAGATACAGGATTATTACATTTCAGACTGACAAATACCATATCCTGAAGGTTAGAGGCCTGTGATACAAATACATCCTGACAGGGCAGGATGGCTGAGCAGGGGTGGTCTTCAGCATGGAGAGTTTCAGCTTCCGAAAGGCTGCTGAAGCATTAAGTTAAAGGAAGAGCTGTGCTTTTAATAAAACTGCCATTTAAAATGGAACTATTTTTAGGAAATACTCAAATGTGAGCATTCATTTGTTTAAGTAATACTCAAAAGATTGTCTTAAGTTGATCTAAAGCAAGCACAAGATGGATCAAGTTAGGATTTAACTCAGTTTATCTCTAAATGCATAATTTAATAGCCAAGAAAAAGTTACTTTTCAAATGAAAAAGACCCTCAATTTCTGCCAATAACTCAAGAATGAACAAGAAAGCACAACTTGATTGAGGAGAAATGATTTTTGCACTGTCAAAGCTTTGTTTTTGCTAATTATTTAGCTCAAAAGCCCTATAAACACAGTTGGAAGAAGGGATCTGTTAAAAATATATCACCCCACCCCTTCAATTAAGGGCTGAGAAGCTTATGACACATCTGAGACATCCAACAAGAACAGGGAAGCAGGACTTAATGTTCCTGATATTTCTAAAGGTAAAAAAGAGAGGAAAAAAGCAGGTTTAAAAATCCCAAATGTTTCATGCCTCTGTTAAATGGATTTTAAAGCAAGAACAGATCCAAGTTATTTTTATTCCTTTGTAGGTCACGTGTAATTAACTGCTTATTTTCACAAAACCTTACTACAGTGTAAACATCACTGGCCAGATCATCTGCCCCACCCAGGCTGAGCTCCACACCACAGGAGGCCAGGGACTATCTGCAGGAGGAGAGGAGCCTGCTAAGGAGCCCGGGAAGCTGCACGCCAGGGCTGTCCCTCCCGTACCAACCTGCCCTGCCACAGCCCGGCTGGAGCCACCAACAGCTCCTGAGCCCACCCCTCCACCACGTCCTTCCTAGAGACTCACACTAACTAGTTAGCAGGCCCTACCCCACGCCTAAAACTTTGGTACAGCCAAAACTTTCTTTCTACGATGACATTATATTGCTCTCTCTGACTCCCTCCTGCCTTTGGGCACACAGCAATTAGCAGAAATGATCACTAAACCACTTGGGAAATAGGGGGAGGAAGAGGAGGGGAAAAGTTCCAGACGGGTTGGCTCGAGCCACTAATTTAAAACCAATTTAAGCCAGCCTAGCTGACTTCGCCTCCAGTGCTCACACAGCCCATTCTGCTGGGAGAGCGGCAGGAGGCCCCTGCACGGAGCAGAGGGCACTCCGGCGGGCAGGGACGGAAAACCCAGGTCACGGCTTGGAGGATGGATGTCTGCCCTCCCGAAGGCTCTGGGCACATTTCAGAGGTCACCCCACGGGAGGCACACGTCCTGCTTCAGGCAGCCCTGACCAGAACGAGCCCAGCACGCGGTGTGGCCACCCGCCTCATGGTGCTGGGAAGGTCCCCCAGCAGTCAGCGGGCCGGGGAGCACAGATCTCCTTCTCCTCACCAACAGCGACAAAACTTGGTCCTGCATTTTGGCCACAGGTTTACAATCACTTGTAGGAACCTCTCATTCACATCAGAGATGGATGTTCCAACCTGGCGCAAGAAGCAGACGCATAAATCCCACAGCACACGACGCATTCGCAGCATTTAAGATCTGCAGGTGGAGCAGGGGCAGGAGAAGGTTTTATGAACAAGTGCTGAAACAATCAATCCTTGTGTGGGGACAACACGGGTCCTGCCAGCGACGGCTCTGAATGCAGGCAAGAAACATTTGCTGTAGCCTGAATACAGAAGTTGTACAGCTGTGCCAGCAAAGTGCTATGTTTATCCTTCAGGGCAGATCTGCTTTCTACAACAGCCTGCTCCGAATTGTATACATGTGGGGCAGGAGTTGAGCGTTTCACTTCTGTGTCAAATAAATCAGGGAAATTGTTCCCAGATAATACATCTTTCCTAACTAAGTTGGGGGGCAGAGAGGACCCAGCAAGAACAGCTTTTCAGTCATCAACCAATATGAACCAAGTTGCTTCACATATTCAGCTTTTCTCCCATTTAAACAAAACCAGCTTTTGGCTAAACCTAGTATTTAGCAGCATACAAATGCTTCCTTTTGTTTAAGGAAGTCTAATACACATACTCACACGTCTATAAAAATTGTAGCAAATTGTATTATTTCTGCCCTCACCTCAGACATCTGATCTAGTCACTCAGTTGAGGCCTAGCATCACTTTTTAAAAAATGAATCAAAATTCAGGTACTTAAACACATATCCCAGTTTTAAATACCTCCCCTGATACACGAGATCTGGCCCACCTCTCAGATAAAACATATATAGTAACTGCTTATTCTAAAGTAGTATTTCCAGGGCTTAAATGCAATCCAAAACATTAAAAAATGCTATGAACAGATAAAAACAGACAGTAAAAGTGAAGTAGTAATTCAGATCTAAAAGGCACTGGAGCATGGCAAGAAGCCAGCATGTCAAGATACCCTGACTTTTACAGAAGCAATCCATATCCAGCATTTTGGGAGAAAACATAATGGTTCAATGTAAAGTATACCTCATTCTTTCAGTTTTAATAATAACACTTGTTTACATTCAGTAAAGGTCTAAGCAACTGCTTTCTACTGTCATTTGGAAGATTGTTGCTCAATTTTAACATCTACTCTTCTATCATCTTGTCTAACCACACAAAACCCATCAAACTCCTCAGACTCAACAAGTATCAGGGCCATGAGCATTTCTTTCCAATTCCCTGGAGCAGCTGTATACAGACACAAGTATTTCTATTAAAAACCAGGAAATATTTAGGGAAGTAAAAAATCATATTCATCATTCTGAAAGCATTGTTCTGTATGTGGCCTCATCTAACAGACTTATCAAAGATACAGAAAGGACAAAAACTAACAGAAAGTCTGCGTTCTCATTAGAAATCCCCTGCTTCCTGACTGCCACTTCCTGCTCTCCTCCCTCTGGCCCTACCCCACGCCACCCATAGCAAATTGTACTTTTCCTGTTCCTGAAGACCTTTTCAGATGCAGAAAGTGTCACTAAGAATACCATATACAAAAAAATGAAAATAATCTTCCCTCAAAGAAAGCACCTGCTGTCATCGGGCAATACAGGATTCAAGAGATTCTGAGCAATTCCAAATTTAAAAAAAAAAATCTTCCACCCCCTCCTTTTTTTTTTTTTTTTTTGGCGGGGGGGGGGTGGGGGGCGCCCCAGGGAAAAACAAATTCAACGCCCCCTCCCTTTTTTTTTTTTTTTTTGGCTGGAAGGGTAGTAGCTGCAGCACAGTGCAATAACACTTAATTCTATTGCCTATGTTTGTAATTAGAGCTCTGACAAACCCAGCAAAACTGATTTTTAAAAGAGAAGAGGAAAAATTGCAATGTTTTACATAATTTTTACATATCTTTGTTCTAAATGCTAAAGACCTGGGAGACATTCATCTCATCAAGAACAAATATACAGACAACAGCCCAGCAGTCTTCAGTGATACAACAAAAGACAATTTAAGGCAAATGACTTGGAGCAAATGCTATCACTGTATAATCCCACAGCAGCTGTCATAATTAGTTAGCTCAAATCTCCTCAGACTCGGAGAAGTCAGAGTTAAAATCGAGCTCTCTTCCTGTAACATTGTGTAACTCCAGAACAGCAGCACTATCCTCGCTCTATTTCAGAATTAACGTTTCTCCATCAGATAAGGTGGAACGACTCGATCCTTCCCCGCAAAGAGAAGCCCAGGGCAAGCCAACAGATGACAAAAGAAACTCGGTCAAGTTTGAGCCTCTCAACACCTTATTTCCTGCCCAAAGAGCCCTTTTGTTCTGCTTCCCTGCATAAATGTTCATATTCTGCCACCATTAGAAAACGGAACAATGAAGGAAAGCCCCACGCACATGAACTCCACTGCCCCCAGGGTGAAATAACGCCACACGACGCGATTAGAACCGGAAAATTCCTACCGACGAAATCTCCACAATTCTCTGTTTGCTTCACCCCAGATTAACTTCACTTGAAGATGTACTTCGGCGCAACCTAGCCTGGACG